TATTTCTTCTTCTAAATATCATAGTTAATGAAGTTAAAAGAATTTTATAGCATTAATAAATGAAATATTCTTGGGGCGCCTGGGTGGCTCAGTTGGTTGAGCGTCTGACTTCAGTTCAGATCACGATCTCACCGTTCGTGGGTTTGAGCCTCGCATTGGGCTCTGTGCTGACAACTAGTTCAGAGCCTGGAGACTGTTTCAGATTCTGTGTCTCCCTCTCTCTCTGACCCTCCCCTGCCCATGCTGTCTCTCTCTCAGAAATAAAACAGTAAAAAAGATAAATGCAATATTCTTTAAAATATTATGTTTTATACTTCACCTTTTAAGTTTCTATTTTTGTGACTGTTTTATAATGGATATTATATCCATAGAATAGTTCAGGGATACAATTTATAAATAACTAAATATACACGTATAGGAATGGACACTCATACTGAAAAGAGATCACTGCGCTAGAACACTACTTCAAAGCAGAAATCTGTAATAACTCTTGATGCCTGCATAGCTCAGAGCTGCCACTCAATAACATACAGTCAGCGAATGAATGCACCCCTTTGTCAATGTTGTCACATATTACAGGATTGCTGAATAATAACCATTGTATGTATATGTCTCATCTTACTTATCCTTTGAGGACATTATACTACATGAAATAAGCCAGTCATAGAAGGACAAATATGGCACAATTCCACTTCTCTGAGTTTTTTCCCAAGAGTTAAACTCACAGAAGCACAAAATAGAATGGTGGTTGCCAAGGACTGAGCAGAGGGGTAAAAGGAAGGTGCTAATCAGTGGGTATTACATGTCGGTTATGCAAGATGCAAGTTCCAGAGGTCTGATATATAACGTTGTGCCTAGAGATAACAATACTATGTGGCATACTTGGAAGTAGATTAGATAACATTGTTTCCATTTTAATTTCCTGATTTTGACAATTGTACTATGGTTATGTAAGAGAATGTCCTTGTGTTAAGGAAATACATAAATACTCTAGTATGTAAGGATATGAAGTATCACTTCTGTAACTTATTGTCAGGCAGTTTAGAAAGAAATAATAACAAATTCATATTACAGGGAGATAGAGGCAGAACAAATGGGGTAATGTGCTAACATTTAGGGAATCTAAGTGAAAGATATACAGGAATTCTTTGTATTGTTCTTGTATCCCTTTTACCAAGTCAACTGAAATTATTTAAAAATTAACAATGAGGGTACTGGCATTTAATCCACAGGTATATATTTTTTTATTCCAATTGAGTTATTTCTAATAGATTTTATTTTTTTTCTCAAATAGTTTATTGTCAAGTTGGTTTACATGTAACACCCAGTGCTCATCCCCACCAGTGCACAGATATATTTTAAATCATCATCCTCTTCAAAAAGTTTGGTTTGGTTGCTATATTTTTACTCATCTTACTCATCCATTTAAGAGATAACCCACAAGTGGGAGATAGGCAGTAAACGTGTGACTCTATCTAGAAAATGGACAGATTTGATTGTTTTTCCTGACCCTAAATGAAGAGCCACCATATGATGAGATTATTGTCTTAACTCAAATGATAATATATGATGGATTTATATACACTAAACACTGCCTGTAATTCTTAAGTGCTCAATAAAAGGTAGGTATTATTATTTTGAAAAAGAAAAGTATGTTGCGTGTTCTTAACAAAATTAATCTAATTTTTAAACATTCAAGTTTATTTATTTTGAGAGAGAGAAAGAGCAAGGGAGGGGTAGAGTCACAGGGAGAGACAGAGAGAAAGAATCCCAAGCAGGTTCCGGCTGCCAGCACAGAGCCCAACAGGGGCTCAAATTCCAGAACTGTGAGATCATGACCTGAGCCAGAATCAAGAGTCAGGTGCTTAACCGACTGAGCAACCCAGGCACCCCTAAAAATTTTTAACTAAAAAAAAATTTAAAGCCCCTCCACAGAATCCATAGCTGTACCTGTAACAAATAAGAACATCAGCTTATGGAAGTTCCTAGCCAAGCTTTAAGGGGAAAAAAAAAATCTGAGAAGCATCATGTGCCTGTGAGTCTAAGAAGGGAGGCTTCACTGTAATCAACTGCGTCATCCAATCCGTAGTCCTTCAACAAAACACAATGGAAAATCTCCCAAAATCACTCAATTCAATGAGGAATTATTGAGTATCTCACATCCGACTCACAAGGTAAGTTACTACAAAATAAGTTATTTATTTTGTGATTTCTGATTTCAAGAAATTCACGTTCAGAACACATCTCCAAATTCCACTTCGAGATGAGTGTAGATGAAGGATCAGAGAATTTGAGCCTCACGGCCATGGTATTATTTCATAGGTGCCCAGCTTCTTTGTCTTACCGCGTACTCATCGTCTCCTCTCTGCCTCATTTCACGCTGGAAACGGACAGCCTCATGAATCAGGATCTGACAGAGCACCGACCTAGACCAAGGTAGGAGACACGTGTCCCACACGCAGACAGAGGGCATCACAGAAGCTGGTGAGATGAGGTTTTCGTAAACCATCTTCCCCTACCGTTGAGTGTTGGTAAAACTAGAGGGAAAAAACCCCTCAAGTACCTTTCCTTTTGGGTCTTTATTCTGAATTACGATCTACACAGAGAATAGGAAAAAAAGACAACAGTGGTGAGCATGGAAAGCAAATGAAATAGCTGGAGATACTTTTGTCCCCACAAAATCTGGGCATAAGACATATGGCAAAACAAAGTAGACTATTAAAAATTTTTTTTAAATAATAATAAACCAGTTACCCCAGAGATTAACAGTGAAAGCAGTGAACTCAGAAGTCCTTAGAACTCAGCAAATCACCAGGGAAAGGAGACCTTCCAAACCGTTACTCACTCCAAGGACTGGTGTTCCAGAGGACTTCCTGAATGTCCCGCTCCTGCGATGTCTGGCCACGAAAGCCGGTCTCCTGCGGGCACAGCCCTCTCGCATCACCTGCCCCCAGGTTCTGACACGTGGAAATACCAGTGGTTGAACTTCCCTCTGCACACGCAGCACCACGAGAATTCACTCATGTAACATGAATAACAACCAGGAAGGGCAATAGAGTTAAACACGTTCCTTCATCATCTCAGATGCCCACTCTCCTGGAGACCAAGCCTACCCGCCTCGCGTAGGGGGAGCTGGACAGGGGGCAGGCAGGCCGGTGCCATCTTCCCTGCTATAAACGAATTGCAACGTCAACACGACTCGTGTAAGCTCCTGCCCACCCTCACACTGCCTGATGCGGAACTGCAAGCGAAGGGGGATTAATCTGATAAGAAATAAAACACATCGGCACAGAAGTCTGAGCAAATCTTTATTAAAATGTTTCCATTTTAGTGGGGAACCCCAGGAAGAAACCGAGAGAGACTATCACAGCCAAGACCTTTTCACCTCAAGATAAGGAGGGAAAAAAGACACTGTTTAAATCTTAGCAGGTACTTAATGTATTTTTTTCCTTCGTGGTTTTCGCCAACCTAACTCCCTTATAGAGATTGCTTCTACATCCTCTCAAGCCCTTAAATAATCTGAAAAATCCTGCATAGTGTTTTCTTGTAGGAAACCAGGGTGTTTGATCTGACAGGACTGAGACCCCCCCTCCTTTGCCTACTTACTACCAACAAAGATGTAAATTCAGTATCTAAAATTTGATGCTTTTAAATCTAAATATTAAGTCTGAATAAAAATAATTCAGGACATTCATATTGGGATTTTAGGCAGATGCTGAGAAATTTGGGTTAAAATAAACCCAAAGCAGAAAATATCCAATAAAAGGCAACTTTCTAGAGTTTTTATTTAAAAGGGGAAAGAAAATGTGTCCAAGAAGCTATCGTTTCCGAGAGAAGTTTATTACTTCTTCATGGATTCCCCCAGCTAACGTGTCCGCCTAATGCTGACCAGGGTTAGCCGGTAGATGTGCCCGTCCTGACCGCCCGTCATGAGCTGAACACCTCCAGCTGGAGCTGTGCTCCAGCCTCCGCCAGTTTGGAGGCCCCCCAGCTGGAAAATAAACATTGAAGTAAAACCTAGTAGTATTTCTGGCTGATTCTAGAAGCCCCCAGGCTGATGCTTGGGAAGGAGGCTGTGGCCCCACCTAATGGTGGCTCATACAGGTTTGTAAGACACAGAAGAACCACGTGTGGCACTTAGTGAGGACCCAGCCACCAGTGGGCTTCAGTGGGTCTTGGTTCCCACACAGCAAACACCATGGAGGGTCCGCACTGGGAAGAAGCAGCCAGAAGTATTAATCCTCCAGATGAGAAGAGCTCAGCTTTCCTTGCAAGTATCCTTTGCCAGCAGCAAAACCACCAATCAAAGCAATTATTTCTCCTAAGTTTATTCTCCTTCTTAATAACCCAGTAATCTGAAGCTCGGTGGTTCCTTAGACCTCCTTATCCCAACCCAACCTTCTCCTCCCCTGCCCCCCCCAAACACACAAACACACACGCACACACACAAACACACAACACCACACATACACATGCACACAAACACGCACACACCACACAGACACACACGCACGCGTGCACGCACACACACACTACGCTCCCCTCCCTCCTCTGTCCCTCAACCCACCCACTCTGCTGTTCTTTTCTCTCCCCCGGACCTCCCCACCCCCACCCCCCCACCTCACTGAGCCCCAGGCCTTGGGACCCTGCTGCCTAGACTGTAAATCTGGCAGCACGGAGCACAGCAAACAAAGGAGCAACTGTGTGAACTGACAGCTCAAGGACTTGGGCAGTGGGACTGCAAGGCCCCCCATACACCTCAAAATGACAGAGGGCAGGGCGGCCCTGGCCCCAAGACAGCTCAGCCAGGCCGCTGCTCCAATGAATGAAATGAGGCAGAAATAAAAGCACCTGGGACATAGGTTTGCAACACTGGCATCAATATTATCACAAAAATCTCTGTAATTCCTTCTCAAATAGGAACAGAAATGGAAAAAGAAATAGGGGAGGAGGGAGGGAGGCAGGAAGGAAAAGAGGAAGGAAGGGAGGAGGGGGGAGGGAGGGAGGCAGGAAGGGAAGGAGGAAGGAAGGGGGGAGGGGGGAAGGGAAGCCAACAATTCTGGTTTAGGGTGGAAAGTGTAGTTGTGAAATAACTACTCCAAACAGGTGTGACTCTGAGGCTCAATCCCAGGCTCAATTTGAAATCCCCGGCCCAGGGACAGGATTCCCAGGTGGGCGCACGCCCTAAAAGCCTTCCACGGAGAGCGTGTGGTTGAGTGCGTAGGCATCGCCCTCCTCTTCCTCCAAAAGCAGCTTGTCGATGGTCAGGGAGTTGATGGCTCTCCTGGGGTCTTCCATGTCCTGAAGCACCGGCTCGGGGATAGAGATGGGAAGCTGGACGAACTGGGGCCCGGGCAGGGCTGGGGCCGGGGGCTGGTACTGCAGGGTGGAGGTGGGCAGTGTGGACAGGGGCTGCGGCCATGGGAAATAGGTGAGGGGCGCCTGGTGCTCCGGGCCCTCCAGCTGGGGCCCCACGGTGGGTGCAGCCGCGCCTCTCGTCTGTGATGGGGAAGACACAGGACCAAGGGTTAGCAGCCCTGGGGGTGCGGGGCCCAGCCCTGGGGGTGGGGGGGCCCTCCCTTCCTCACTCTCCCTTCCTCACTCTCCCTTCCTCGCTCACCCTCCTCCTGGTGGGGATCTGTGTCCCCCTCACCTGGGCCCTTGCCTGCTGTCTGGGCCCGGGGGCTCCAACTGCCCCCGCTCGGCATCTCTCCCCAAGGAGAAGCCACACAAAATCCAGCCGCATCCGTGACGCTGTCCCCTACCCCCCCCTGCCCCCCCAGTGGCTACAAGTCCTGGCTCAGCCACCTCTCTAAAGCCTCCATTTTTGCTTCTGTAGAGTCCGTTACAAACAGGACTGACCTCCCAGGGCTGAGCCAATTAGAGATGCTCCTCCAGATTTTACTATGAATTCCATCCTAATTTCAGAGAAATTGTGGAGGGGGAATGTATATCTTAGAAACCGGTGAGAGCACAGCACGTTACACCAGGCTGGCCCCCCGCTAGCAGCTGTTTGATGAGGTGACCCACGCCAAGGCCGTCCTGGCTGCACGTAGCAGCTTTCGCATCCTGAGGTCGGTCCCCGTGGAGCCACTCATCTCCCACCTGCTGCAGACCACACCCGGACGCTGGGGAAGCCGGTTCTCGCACGCGCCGTACCAACCATGCCCCTCACCTGTGCACCAGCCACACTGCAAACCTGAGGTCAAGGCCGCCAGAGAGGCAGGGCCTACATTCCTACTATCTTCCACAACTGAGGAAGCAGGGGTGGGGGGTGGAGGGTCTCTGCATGAAACGACGGGAGAGAGGCCGAAGTCTCCCCCTACCGTCCCTAGTTCTGCCGTCCTATTTTCGATCGCTGCTGCGTTTTAAGAGTAACTCATTAGAGTCCTTAAGGGAAGAGGTTATCTCAGGCTCCCGGAACCTCGCTACCAAGCCCCTTTTGGGACAGGAGGTGGGGGGGGGGGGGTCTGGGATCCTGCACATCCCATCAGATCCTCGGTGATGCCAGTGCATCTGGCCCAGGGACCGTAGCTTGAGCAGCAAGGCTTGAGGGTGTTTTTCTACAGAATGACAGAGCTGGCGAGGGTCTCAGAGGCCTTCCAGCCTCCCCGCAAAGCCTGACTGTTTCCGGCATTTCAAAATCCCAAATGGAAACCCTCCTCTGTGGAGTCATAAGCCTGTGTAGGTCACCGGCAACCACAGGTTTCTTTGCTCAGGGATAGAATTCTATCAACCCCGGGGCTTGAACAGATCTTATCTCCTGCTAATCAGGGGCGCTGACTGCTAGCTCTAACCAGCTTTGATGCGTTCATTTACAAAGCGGCAAAACAAACAAATTATTCCTTAATAAATATGGTTTGTTTGATACACAGAACCTTTCAAGGTAGGAGGTGGAGATAATGAAAGAGAGCCTTGGGATTGGAATGACTGGGAACCATTAGGTCCACTGCTTCCCGCCCCCACCTAAGGCCCCCAATATGGAAATTAGTTACTTGGGAAAGATATTGAATTCACTCCTTCTCTAGCCACCATCAACCATGCCCCATAACCTTAGCCAGGCGGGGTTGGGGGAGGAGGGCTTCTGTGAGCCCTTGCCTGGATGGTGATGAGAGGGCAGGTGCAACAGCTTGACGCTGAACCCTTGAGGGAAACGGTGGGGAGGTGGGGGAAAGAAAGCAAGCTCCACCATCAACGTGGGCTGCACAGCTACTCCTGAGGCCCCAGCTCCGCACCCCCAGAGCGTTCCCTGAGCCGAGGCTGGATACAGCTACACCCATAGACCTTTTCTCCTCTGAACACTTAGGGGATTCCCAGTCCTTTGCTCAAACAGATACCGTTCACGTAAAACCACTTCTCTTCCTTTCTTCATGCCTGGGGGAACAGGCCCTTCCATTCCCATCGGGCACTTGAAGGCAGCACTTGGTTAATGCTGCTGGCCGGCTTTGAGACCATCATAATAGCGTAACATTCGTTGAGTGTTTTCTGTATGCCAGGAACTATGCTAAGTCCTCACTGGGCATTGGCCCAATTGAGCCTGACATCAGCCTTCTTGTTAATATACCTACCCATTTCACAGGTGAGGACACTGGGGCTCAGAGAAATTAAGTCACGCAGTCCAAGGTCACCCAGCTAGTAAGTGAAGGGACAAGGATTCGAACCCAAGCAATCTGATGCTAGAGGCAGGACTCAACAAATTACCCTGCAGGCCGGCCTGACTTCATCAAGAGTTTTCCGAAAAGCTGTGTCACCTGTTGCAGATCCCACTGTTACGTGACCAAGCAGCCTCTAAGCTAGCTGAATAGAAAGCACTGGGCTTTCTCAACAGGTGCCCTGGGTGCAACAGAGCTTTTGTGTGACATACCGTGACGTTAGTGATGAGTGGCTGGGAGGCGTAGGTCAGCACGGAGGAAGGCCCCACGACCGTGTAGCTCGGGCACATGGGCTGCACGTACATGTCAGCCGAGTAGGGGCAGCTGACAGCTTCGTGGGGCACGTACTCCGTGTAGGGCGTCCACGGGGCCAGGGGTTGGAGGGTGGCCGGGGCCGGCTGGGAGAGCCAGCCGGCACACAGGGCGCCCTCCTCTGTCACTGTGGAGGCGGAGACCTCCATGTCCAGGCAGGAAGGACCTGTGGGAAGAACGAAGTTACAGAGCTGCAGGTGTGGCCCCGATGGGGGCCGGGAGGGGCCGGGGCTGTGGGGAGCGCTTACCCACTGTGGTGTAGGTAGCCAGCGGCTGATGGGGCAGCACCACCTAGAAGGAGGAGAGACCAGGGTCAGTGTTCGGCTCTCCAGAGGGCCCCAGGGCAGGAAGTGTGCAGGGGAGCCTTCCTTCTTGGAGCAAAACTTCCACGCCAGGTCCCTGCCATCACCTCCTATACTTTTGGGGGATTCGTGTTTCCACTTAGCAAGAAGCCTGTGCACTTAGGGGCCTGGCATCGTCGTCTTCCCAAAGGGAGCGCCCGGCTCACGCCAGGACGTGTGAGTCATCTGCTCCCTCGGGCCCTGGCACCGGCTTTGTTCAATGGGCCAAGCCAGCCCGCCCGGAGCCCCCACCCGACTCGGTCTACGCAGGGACCACTGACCTGTTCGCCCCTCGGCCATTCTTCAGCAGCCATACATGGCAGCGTGTCGCCTTTGTGACCTCGGTGAGCCTCCCATAGAGCCAGGGCCCCTGTGGACACCCCACCACACGCGCACACACATGCACACACACACACAGGCCACAGCGGCCCCCTCACCGCCGTTGGTGTGACAGCCGCCCCGCTGCTGGCATGGCCACGTTTCCTCCGGAGCAGTTCCTTCACTGGCTCCTTCACACGGACGCCCTGGTACGGCCGGGGTGGGGCCGGGGCTTGTTCTGGCGCCGAGGCTGCGAAAAGCAAGGTCACTGGTGCTCATCAGCCTCTCAGACGAGCCCCCACCCCCGTGTGTCTGCTCCTCTCCTCGAGGGTCTGCGGCTGTCTCACCTCAGCTGTGCCTGAACAAGGAGGACCCACCAGACTTCCTAGACAGTTTCCCCCAAGCCTTCTTCATAGCTCCCTTCTGCCTCACCAATTAAGCCCTGTAAACTTAAGGTACAATTGAAAGTCCTGGGCTGCATCAGCTCAACCCATTTTCCAACCACTTTGCACACCAAGGACTTCATCAACCCTGACTCTGGCCAGAAGGCCTACTCAGACTTCTCTTCGTCTCCTCATCTCTGAGATTTCCCATGGTCAGGATTCACGCTCACACTTTCCAGCCTCCTGATTCATCCTGGCTCACGCCTAGTGCAATGCTCTGGCGGCCCGCGGCTGCCCACGGAAGTGGTTTCATCCTCCGGCCTCTTAGACAGACCTGGTTAGTGCTCATCACAGCGGGCAGTGGAGGACAGCATAAGAGCAGAGACTCTGAGTCGGATAGTAAAGGCCTTGAAATCTGACCCTGGCACATTCTAGCTATGTGATCCTGGGCAGGTTACTAAACCTCTCTGTGCAATTTCTTATCAAAAAAATGTCATAAGGAGTCGCTGACTTAGGGGAACCTCAGGACCTAGTAAATGAGAAGCACAGTGTATGCTTAGTAAAAAATCAGGTACAGAGCGAGCATTTAATAAATGTGCAATCTGCTGTATGATAATTACTAATCCTTTGGTGTAAATGTCTTATGCCCCTACCTAGATGATAAACTTCTCAAGATGAAATACTATACCTTATTTCTCTATATCTTCCCAAGGAGCTTGTCTGCAGCAAGCTCAGTAAGGGCTTTGTTGCTTAACCAGTTGGATGATTATTTGGAATGTGCTGCCATTCACCTTCCCTTTACCCAGGCCACCTTTAGAATGGGCCACAGTGAATGGTTGCTGGGTTCTCCGGGGCCCCCAGGACAGAGGACCAATGCCCAGTGGTCATCCACATACTTGGAGCCAGACAGTGTCCAGACTTGCCATAGAGAGCAGGCTCCCTGTGCCCTTTGTCACCAAAGCTGGGAAACCCAAGCGCTGAGCTAGAGCTGGGCACTTCCTGGCCAGGGAGAGCAGGCCAGAGGCAGTCATGGCTGGGCACTGACCTCTGCCCTACCACACAGCCCACAGCCTGGGGCCCTGGATGGCAGGCCTGGCTCAGCCAAGAATAGTGAGTAGCCCTGGCCCTGGGGACTCACACACGGAGCTCATTATCATCCCTGATAAAGGCCCCAGGGACCTGGGCTCTGAATCAAAAGCCTGGAAACCTAGGTATCTATTAAACCCGGAACCACAGTGCTACCTGGCTGAACTTTGCTCAGTAAACACCCAGCTGATAAGAACCCATGCCTGACCCAGCACCAGGCCTCCATCATGCTCCAGGCACACACACAGTTGGCCTTCAAGCCAAGCAGGCAGAGAGAGGCAGCAGGGGGAGGGAAAGGGGTGTTCAAGAGCCCCAGGGACACGATGCAGAGAACCCCAGACTCAGACGCATCCACAGGGGCTTCCTAGCCTGGCCAGGTAGCAGGATTGACCAGAGAGTGGTGCACAGAGCAGATACCCAGGTAGTTCTGATCCTGGGGGGGGGAGGGTTTATGTGGGCCTGGGAATCTATATTTTAAATGTCTTTCGGGTGACTCTGAAGCTCTGCTGGGGTCAGCATCACTGATAACCCACCCCTGATGGAATGCAAGAGTCTCCCCCTAAAATCCTGATAGGAGATAATTATCCTCTTTTTAATTCCAACCCCCCACCCCGCCATCACCCCCATCATAACGAGGAGTCTCAACTGATATTCATTCGTTCTTTCAACTATTCCTGGGCACTAGGAATATAGCACCCAGCAAGATAGTTGTGGCCCCTGCCCACATGCAGCTTGCATCTGGTGGGATGCAATGAAATAGTTACAACTGACATAAAATCAGGCTGAAACTGGAGTGTGGAGCAGAGAGATCCGGCCTCGTACCAATGCCCTGGGCCTATCTGGGCAACATATCCTGCGCAAAAGCAACAGTAACAATGGACCTGAGAGCCAAAACTAACTGCATTCAATTCTGGGATGTTGCCGGTTGGTGGAAAGGTCTCAGATGATTTACTTAACACCCTGGGCCTCAATAATCCATGTCTAACACAGTGGTTGTGAGGATTCCCTGCAATAATACACAGGAGTTTCGCAAAGCCATGGCGGGCGATGGTAGATATCCCTTTCCTTCCCCTGCCTCCACCCACTTCCACCTTCCTCTGGGAAGGAGCTTCAGGGCCAGGAAGCTCTTCTGCTTGCTTGACAGGCCACGTGGTAACAGGCACCATTTTTCTTGGCTTTGCCTTCTAGTGACCTGCCATTCATAATCCATCGACAGCCTTCTCACCTCTACAGTGAGGATCATAACGGCATACACCTGCTAGGGTTGAGAATTCCATGTAAGTGCTTGACACAGAGCTTGTGCTGAGCAAGCACTAAGTAAATGTGAGCTAACATTATCTTTAGTAGTAGTAGTGGTATCCCTTTCTGGCATCTGAAGGCAGATACCAGGTCCCCTGTAGAGTCTGAATGAGCATCCCATTCTTCCAGCTGTTTCTTCATGACACGTTCCAGATCCTTCTAACCCTCCTTCTGGGTGCCTCCCCCCTCCACTTCCCCCGTGATCACTGATGCCCGGCATTGGCCACAGACCCCATGTGGGGCCCAATGCGGCAGCGAGCAGGGGCACCTGCCCTCCCACACTCTGCTCGCTCATTCTCAGTCACCCACAGTGCCTTCATTCACACCCGTGTCAGGCTACACTTGTCTGCAGCTGGGTTTCTGGCTATTCTAGGAACAGGCTACAGCCTAAGGCGTTATGCACTTGGAAGAAACTCAGGGGACAGGGTTATTTGGGGAGTCTAAGCACCGTGGTCACACTCTTAATTCAGCTGAGGGACGAGAAAGACTCAATCCCACATGCACACATCTCCGTCCAGACCAAAGACATAACCCCCTATGATTTGCATGCACACTTGTGAGGAAGGGTCCAGAGGACTCCCCACCCACTCCCTCCCAGGAAGTGGACACGCCGAACACTTGGCTGCAAAGGGGCCAGCTGGGGATTTCCAGGATCTTGCCTAGGGACGGCTTCCTGCCTCCTGTTGGTTTTGAATCAATGAACAAAGAGGGCTTGGGGGAGGTGCTGTGAGTGGAGGGTATCACCCTCTGATGTCAGGACTTCCTTAGAAGCCACAGTGTCAACAGGTGTGCCCTGGCACAACCACCATATGGAGGGCAGTTTCTAAGTCCCACCTCTTCCTAGTGCAAAACTCCCAGAGCTCTCAAGGGCCTCCCGCCTCCCCATCTACAGGCCCACAACCAGCTGCCAAGGAATCCCGGAACTGACTGCAAACGCGCATGCGCGAGGGTGCTTCCACTGGTGTCTTTGTAAAGTGACCGTGAAATACCAGAATCAGAAGCCTCGGGACAATTCCCAAAGGATCCCGGTGGCCAAGCGAATTTGCAAAGCCAAAACTTGCAGCTAGTGCTTCTCACACCAACTTTTGTAAAGCAACAATAAACGTTTCTAATTCTATGGTAAGTGCTGTACCCCCTCCGCCACCAGCCTGAGAAACCAGCGGACAGATACAAACTTGGGAAAAGAAGTTTGCCTGAAATCATGATTGCTTTGCCTCGGGGGCGTCTGGATCCCTGAACCGAGCTACTTTAAAACTAGAATCCTGAAAAGAACATTTTTAAGGTTCTTAAAATAATTTCTTAATAATAAGTAAGAGCAAAACAAAGCAGGAGATGAAGATGATGCTACCCAATCCAGTTTCCAAGAGTAGAGTTGACCAGAAATTTTAGTAGCCCCCTGACCAAATTGCAGCTTCAGGTAGCATGTCCTGAAAGCCTGAAGCCTCCTCACCATTTATCCTGCGGTTTGAAGTCCCCTTAAGTCTCCTGGGAGCTTCCAAGTGTCCGCCGCTGAGAAAAATCTTTCCACCTAAACATGAGCCTCTTGGGCTTTGCTAGGAATCTGCTTTCTTAGCGTGAGACATTCAGCCGTTTTACCTTCCCACCACCAGAAGTCAGTCACCGATGGAGTTCGGGGGGAGTGGGGGGGAGAAAGAGGAAAAAAAGCCAACAAAACTCATTTACAGAAAAACCTATAACTTTGGCCCCAGTGAGGGCTTCCCTTTTCCAAAATGAGCGACGAAAAAAATCTGAAGGTATAAAAAGTCAGCAGAAGACATTTCAGTTCCCCCTGCCACACACCCGGACACGCTCCACATCACAAAAATAAGAGTCCTGCAGCTGTCGTTCCACTGGAGGGCACAGACCATGACAGATCGGGCCAACTGGTCACTTCAGGCAGTGGGCTGGCTGCATGCGGCATTGTGCATGTTCGCACCGAGCTTAGGAAGCGTGTGGAAGCCACTCATTTAAATAAACACGGCCCTCTAGTTCCCTGAAGAAGGGACGATAAATATCACTGAGGACATATGCAAAATTGTCAGCACTTGTTTATTTAATCACCCCGTGTAAAGCGCATTCACCCCACAGTGAGGAAGCTAAGGAGACACATCCCTCCTAGTGGCTCCTAATGGAGCGAACACCCACGTATGTGTCACTAACTTCTCCAGTCAGCTTTCAGAGAGCCTTCTTCAGACAGGTGCTACCTAGAACAATGTCCAGGATCCTCTTGAAAGAAGACTCTTCTGGTCACTGTCCTGTTACAGATTTCCTATGAGACGCCAGGGCCATGCAGTAAGTTGAACACCAGATAAGACTGCGACTCTAAGGGCTAGTTGGGATCCAGGGTAAGCGTACATTTCTACCATCACAGAATCAGGAAGAGGAACCCATCTCACTCATGTCAACCACCCAGCTCACTGAACGTGCTGTCCATTTACAGCTGACTGCTTGAATCTCAAACCTGCAGCCACACTAGACCATT